GACCAATTCCTGAGGAAGCCCGTCTTTTTTCCTGCAGAAACTCGTAACCAATCCAGTTGTTGATGGTGTCATCTCACATAACGATAGAACCCTCAACAGAATATGATAATAACTAACACAAAACTTTATAAAAAAGTCTAGTCCATGAAGCGCCAGGGTGTCAAAAATGTAACAAATAACTAATGACGAAATTCGAAATCGCATGAAAATAACGTCAACAATGATAGGCACGATCAAAGTAAAAGGTTTATGGTGGTTTGGACACCTGATGAAGATGACTAACAGCCGCTGCCCGACGAAGTTATTTAAATGGATTCCGCCAGGGAGGAAAAACTGTGGAAGATCGAGAAGATCCAGGAATGAAGGCATCGCAAAGGCAATGCGAGAGAAACAACTCAAGGTAGAAGATAGAAAGTCATGTCTCAATTGAATTCACTACATTTTAGGAACTACGAACATTGACATTTATAATTTTTTTCTAAAATTTTTGACATGGGTAAATGTACAAAATGTGTAATAAAGTTACAGGTAGTAGGTCCAGATTCGTTTATTTTAAGGGGAATTAAATTGATTTGTGCAATTTTGCAACAATTTATTTTATTATATGAACAACAAATTGATAAAGGAGCAGTAAAGTATCGATAATATATCGGCAATCAAAGTATCGAGTGATATAAATCCTCAACATTAAAACTAAGCCACACAATAATCAGATTAATTACTACTTAGCTTGAAATATTAGAAACACGCGTTGAAACAAATTATCGCTTTAAACAAAGGTTTTATCCACAAAGAGGCGTTATCTGGGTGAGACACAAAAATCTGGCAAATAAAGCAAGTAGACAAAACAAACTGATAAAAGAATACAAATGATGGAAATTGCACAAAAATTCTTTCTAAATCCCCATCTAACCGCAACTAGCACTGGAATAAATGAATGTTTAATTAAGCGGTTTGGAATAATATTTAAAACAATTTTATGCCAGTATGTAGTAAATTTCTCTGGTCATTTGACAGATGCTGTTTATTTACATGTTCACGAATATGTATAGTATTATATGTAGCTAAGCATTACAAACTACCCATTCAAGTGGAAGCATTATACATATAAGCAGCTGTGTTACACCAATCTTTCAGAAGGAACCTTAGAAGCTCAAAATAACAATACAAGAAAAATAATTCTGTGAATATCATACTCAAAACTTCTCCAGAATACAAACAATGGAGGTCACCTTCGTGGTTAAAGATCCTATCCATCTTCCACCACCAAAGTACAGTTTGTTCATTAAATTTTATACATACGTCTGATATTTCTATTTTTGGCGATACCTTACAGACCAGTAGCAACTTTATTGTTTGTTAAAACAACCTAGTAGGGGAACGTGTTATATCTTGGATCATTTTATTTCTATAGCTAATATTTCAAAAATATATGAGTTATTTATCAAATCTCTTGGTTTAAATTGATTCAGGGTTGTACCTTGAACCAACGTTGTGTGTACCTTGGGCCAATTAGTAACTACACCTAATTTTATTTAACTACATTATTATTAACAATCATCACCGGCCCGTTTCTGTCCACTGCTGCACATAGGCTTCCTCAAGGCACCTCCAGTCCTCCCTGTTCTGAGCCATTGCGATCCAGTTTGTTGCTATTTTCTTGGTCGCCATTCGAGGATTCTCTTCGTCCACCTACCATATCTACCCACGTGTCCTCTACGCCCGTTCTTCTTCTCACTTCTTCATTTCGGATTCGGTCTCTCAGGAACAACCGCAACATGGATCTCTCCATTCTGCGTTGTGTCACTTTTCTTACAAATGTTTTTGAAAGTGATTCTGCCCGGCATGGTAAGACTGGGAGCACTGTTTGGTTGAAAGCTTTCAGTTTCATGCTTATGGGGATATCCGTCTTAAATATCCCACGAAGTTTGCCATAAGCTGCCCAACCTAAGATTATTCTTCTCGAGAGCTCGTACGTCTGATTGTCTCTACCAATCCCGACTTAATGGCCAAGGTATATGTATTTCTCAGTGATTTAGATGTTCTCGTTGTCCACCTTCACAGGTTCGCTAGGTACTAAATTTGTCATAATTTTTGTTTTATTGTAGTTTATTTTCAGTCCTACTTTTTGTGTTGCCTGTTGTAGCTCTTCGCCATTACCACAAGGAAAGAAATAAACTTTGAAAGTACTTACATAGATATATTTTTAATTCATAGTTTAAGTTAATATTCATTTCACCCTTTTCCGGATAATGTAGGTAATAAAATTTGTATTTACTAAGGTGATAGGTTTTATTTTAATTGTCTTTATTAATTTCGGCCGTCTTCAGAAGACCTGTCAAATTTCATAAACACACTTGTACATGTTAAATTTCTATTTTAAATATTAACTAATTTTTATCAGAACGGGCATGATGTAATTTAGGCTAAATTATGGCTATGAGTATGAAATTTGACAGGTCTTCTGAAGACGGTTAGAGGACATATTTTATTTCATATTTGACATATTGTATTGGGATTGTTACAATGAGGTTGCTAATGATAAATAAAGTTGTATTCAATGAAAAATGTCCTATTGGGGTTGAACTTGATTATTATCTGCAGTGTCCAACACCTAAAAGAGATATTAATTCCTGTGAATGGTGGAGTACTAAGTAATAGGTTTTTAATATCCGGTCAAAGTCGGATATTTGGTAACTATCCGGTATCCGGCCGGATTTTAACAAATGTTCGGATACCGAATAGTTGCCGGATATCCTTTCCACCACTAGTCAAAACAACAGACTTGAAGAAGAGAATCAGCTCCAAAGAAGGCAAACGCAACTAAATTTGCATAATCTTTGTTGATTATTTTCAAAAAGGGAGAACAGTCAAAGAGGTTGTACGCGAATATATTACACGAATGTAATGAGAAGCTCTATAGTAAAAGATTTGCCCACAATAAAACTGTACAGTAGTTTGCAGTTAATTGCTATTTTGAGATGTTCTAAATATAAATAGGCCACTGAAGTTATTGGATATCGCTGGGAAAAGAGCATGGAGCTAGAAGATGTTTCAGAATTACGTAAATTATTTTCACCAATTCATACATTTGCCAATCATTTTACAGAAGGATTTGGACAACTTTCCACGGCTCTTAAAATTCCTGCTTTCTTATATTAAATATACTAATATGATACTAAATGTATTACTTCTATTACTATGTTGACATAAATGCGTCCAAATTTTTGTGTTTTTGAAAAATCTTTGAATATGTACACAATAATATGCAGGGTGTATCTGAATGACGTGCCCAAACTTCAGGGGGTGATTCTTTAGACAATTTTAAGGGTACTTTCTCATATAAATTTTTACCCTATGCATAAAAAAATTTTAGCAAAAATATAAAGGGGGTGGTTACGTTTAGTAGTTTAGAAGGATAGGTTGAAAGTACAAATAGGGTGAAAACGTGCCCTACTACCAGTTAAACATATTCCCCAAATTTCGTTGACCTAGCGTTTATGGTTTTTGAGAAAAAAAAATTAAACCAAAATTTTCCGCCATTTTTGGAGGGGTGTAGCTCCTTAGGGGAGCCCAAGTCGCCCATGGTTTATATATCAAAGTACCCTTAAAATTGCCTAAAGAATCACCCCTTGAAGTTTGGGCATGTCATTCAGATACACTCTGTATATGTAGAAGAATATAAAAATAAATAAAACAACTTCCAACAGATTTAAGTGTAATTGTATTTTTTTTGTTTTCATATCAGAGTATACCTAAGTTGACAATTCAATACAGACTGACCATCGGAGAACGAAAAAAAAAAATTGGGGACGAAAAATTATATTAATACGAACCTATATACAATGCAAAAAAACGATTCGTTTTGCTTAATCAGTTTGAGATCTGTGGAAAAAAATGGAATTAGTTACGCCATAATTACAATATTGTGTTTTTATTGTTGTTTCTTAAATTTAAAAATTACGAAAGAATTATATCATAGATAATGTTTAAGTTTGTTTTTTAATTCGTTCAGGGGGGCAGCATTTTCTTTTTTTTTTTTTCTATCGAAACAATTTGACACTGGTCGAAATAATTATTTAATAATATTAATGGTTAATAATAGTCTTTAAAATTGCTATAATATATTAATGGGGATTTATAAAATATTTGTTAGTAATTGTTTGTAAAATTAGCTAAAAAAAGAAAAGAATCCCCAAAAATATATAAACGCGATTAAATTAAAATTTAATGAAAATCATATCTAAACCAGTGGACCAGGTAGAGTTGTAAATTTAAATAATTATAGAATAAAAAGGAACATAAAATCAAAAAAAAAGAGTAAATTACATAGCTTGAAAACTAATATATACAAATACAAAGTTTCAATACCAAAAAAATTAAATTGGTAAGGTGTCTATCTAAAAACAATTAATTGTAATTATGTAAAAATACATAGAAGTGAATTACCTAAATGCACAATGTCAATATTTCTATAAAAAAATGTTTGTTGGCACCAACATAGATTGCCGTGTAGTAGTTTTAATTAAATTGAAAAAAAGAAAATTGTGTTATTTACAAAAACGAACGAATATTTAATTGTCTAAAAAAACTTAGCCAACACAACTCGACAAACTTAAAATTGCATTACAGAGATTTTATGAGTGATTTGATGACAAATTTTAATTTTAAATTTTTTTTATCCGTGATTTTCCGCTTACACTTTACGAGACGAACATTAAGCACTAATTGCTTAAAAAGCTAACGACGTCTGCAATGCACTTTAATATTTGGAGGTGTTCAGAAAAAACCCTTAAACGCCTATTATAAAGAGTTTTCTTACTACTCACTAAAAACACTCATTGTATTTTTTCCATTTTTCAGTTTTTAAAAATTAACTATTTACACTTAGAGCTTTCAGTTTTCATTATTATTATTATTATAACCTTTTTTTACTTTTTTTTTAGACACATCACCGACCAATTCGTTTTTTATTTTCAAATAATTCGTTTATATATATATTTTTTTTTTTTAATTTTTGGTTTTATCTAAAAATTTCTAAATCCAAATTTATGCTAAACGGGATGGTTTTTTTCGTATTCATTTTTAGATTTAGTGGTTTCTAAAAATTGTTCCAAATAATTTTTTTTTTGTTTTTGTGTTTTAGAAACGCACTTCACATCCTTTTTTCAATTCTTATTCGTATCACCACACTGCGTATGCCTAACTAAATGTGACATCGAGTACACTAAATTTTTATAATCGTTAAATTTTTTATTTTAATCATGAGGTTTTTTTCTAAACCTGTTTTAGCATCTCTGTACACGTACACTTACGGTTTTCTTTTTTTTTTTACAATTTTTTTCGTATTAATCAAGAAATACCATTAACGTTACGTTGTGGAAACTTTGGAATTGTCGAAACTTAGAATCTTTCAATCTTATTTTACATATTATTTTTTAGAAATCGGTGATTCGCTACAAACAGAATATATGTATATATATATAAAAGAAATATAAAGAGAGTTTTTTAGTATGGTCCCACTTTGATAGATTATTATTAATTATTTATTATCTTTACGAGCTATGTGAGAAGATAAAGTGATTAAATAGTAAAGTGTTGTAGAAAAAAGGCAAAAAAATTGGCTAGTTGAAGTGTAAATACAGTTTTTGAAAGATTCCTAGACAATTCGAAAGTTAGAATAAATGAAAAATTTTCTCCCAGTCTTATCAACTCATATACATATCTACTTACATATGTACGCTAACTTTATATCCACTTTTGTTTAGTTTTTTTTTTCTTTAACTAACCGCTAAACGAAAAGGCAGTGTTCAATAAAAAACTGTACACAAAGAGGAGGTTGGTTTGTTTGTCGATTTTCTCCCTCATCTCGACTTTTTAATTTCACTTCTTAACTTCTTTCTTAATTAACTTCTCAATCCATATTTCCATTTCCATCAATACATTTACTTTTTTTAGCAGATCTACGACGATATATGATTCTAAATCCCCTTTCATTTTTCCTTATTCTCATCCCATTTCATTTTTTCATTATCCTCAATAACTTAAACTAAATAAACCTTACCACGTTACGCGTAATAAGAAAGTCATTGTCGATATTTCTTTTTGTTTGCATCATTTTCATTAAATCCTTAACCGTCTAAAATCACACGTCTTATATCGAAATTCTTATATCGGCTAATATACACATTGTAGTTATGTCGCATGTTGATAAAAAACAGAAAACACACAAGAAGAGGAGGCAGGTAGAATGTCTATAGTTAAAGGAGGAGGAACGCGACGGCGAACGAGCGCAGATTGTCCGTTTTTGCATTGCAAAGAATCCCTGAATTTGTATTTTTGGTGTACCGGTTGCTTGTATTTTCTTCCTAGGTCGGCGACCGTTGTTGCTGCAGCGTCGACGCCATACGATGATGATGCTGACGCTGTTGCTGTTGATGGTTATGTTGGCGAGACGCCCTTTTGACGCTAGATTGCGAGGAACGACGTTACCTACGTCCCGCCCACGGTCAGTCCCATTGATGCGGTGATGGTGGCAACTCTGAAGGATGAGCCACCGTCGAACTGAAAAGATAATAACACAACTATTAGTAACTTGGCGTTTTTAATTATATTATTTATAATATACATTTAAATTATTAAACATTTATTAATTTTAGTTTGTTATTTTATTATATAAGGTGACTTATGTTTTTAATTCTTTAAACATTTTTAGCTATTAATTAATCAATAGATCACAGCTCTATTCTCTTACTGCTTTGAAAGGTATTGTATATTTGTATTTAAATCATGACTTCATGTAAATTGATTCCGTTAATGCTGTATACAACATAGCAATTCTAACCTTCTATAATCCCCCTGTGATATAAAGACAACCTTCTTTGGATATTTAGTCATTGTCGTACTATTACTAACATTTATAGTGACTACTAAATGTTGATGCAAAAAATACAATCCTAAAAACCAGTTAAATGAAAACCAGTTATAGAAGAAAAAATATAATCCCAGACCATCAATTTGGCTTCAGAGAGATTAACTCAACTAATGATCACATTCACATGATCTCAGATATAATTGAAAAGTCGCTAAAAGAAAGAAAAGCTTGCACTGTATTCCTAGATATAGCTTAGGCTTATGAGGGACCACTACTAATTATCAAGCTCATATGTACCTAGAGACTCTCTAGTAGAGAGTTTTCAAATTGCTAAAATCTTATATTATAGATTGAGCCTTTAGGGTTAATCAGGAAATCGATGATTCTGAACTTAAAGCAATTCATGCAGGAGTACCACTAGGCAGTGTATTAGGACGAGACCTTTACCTACTATATACCAGTAGTATTCCTGAATTAATGCATGCTATATGATGGTGTATACTGTTATATGATGTTATGTTATAGGCTGTGGGCAAAACTCTTGGAATATTGTCTTTTAATTCACACAAAATCTGAGAGTGTTATTGTATATCCTAACATACATTACATTTGCGAAATTAAATCTGGACAATATCAGTTGTCCAGATTTAGTTGTTCTTTCACAATAGGGAACTTTTGGGAACTAATCCGCGGTACTTGACGTCATTGATCTGAGGTTTATTTAATGTCGAACCGATCTTCTCAAACTTCTTTACCCATTTTTGCATGAGTTGTGTAGAAGATGCTTTTCTAATGTGCCGCAAATAATAAAGATTACAAAAATTTCATCACGGAACAGTATAGCATACAACAAGCACATTCCACTCCTTGCTCAGCGGATGTGTCCGCGCAGTGAACTAAGCAAATTAAGAAAGTCTTTTGGGACAGCCAGTATATAGTTTTTACGAACAATTCTCAAGTCTGTATGGACATATGACATCAAGCTGTGGGGTTATACCAATAAGAATAATTTAGTAGTAATCCTATGACACCAAAACAAAGTCTAAGGACCATTGTTACTTCTCCTTGGTATTGTAGAAATGATGATCTCATTAGGAACAAGGAAATGAATACCGTTAACAAATTCGCCACGAGTCATGAACAACTTCTTCGTCATATTAATGTCAAAGCCATCCAAATCCTCGACACTGTGAACTAGATCAGAAGACTCAAGACGACCAAGCCCTTGAGCTGGTGTAATAGCAGTACTCGCTTACATCAACGTCAAAATATAGCAGAATTCCGTAAACATTGAGCTATATCACATATACAGTGTCCGACAAAAAGTCAGCAACAGCCGTTTATGTTCGTTCGTTAAAGTGAGGTTTTTATGTTTAAATGAACCATTTTAGCTCTTCAACGTATTTCCATAGTCTATAGAAAACCACTCAATATACCGCTCGTGATAGAAAATTTACGATTTTCATCTAGAATTTAGCCATTCTCTTGCCGCATACACACGGTTTCAACTTAATAAGCGTTTGAAACCACGTTAACTTATTGTAAATTAATTCAAAATATTGTTTTCTACAAGAAACTGTAACATAAATATATCAGCAAATCATGCGACCTCTCGAATTCGCAACCCTGCGCATTGACTTTCATGGGTCTTCAATTTTGTGTCCTTCCATACACATTTCTCTGTTCTGTTTTTGTAGACATCATGTTTCATCACCACGAAAATCCATTGCAACAACACATCATCTTTTCCACCTGATGCCTCTTTATTTTGCTCTCTGTCGTCTTAATCTTATTAACAATCACTGGAATTTTCAAATTGAAAAATTACAACTATAATTTTCAATGTTTAACTAATGCGATACTATACCTGGAAAACTTATTAAATATAGAATAGTCAAACTAAACCAGATGCTTAGAAATCTATTCCAAACATGTATAAATAGATCAGAAGTACCAAAGGAATAGAAGTTATGGCAAGCAATGCTACCAGCAGAATATATATGCAGAATACTTAAAAAAAGACGAGTACAATGGAAATAGAGGAACAAGCCGTCTTCATCGCAGAGATGTCAAGATTAGCTCAAATATACAAGATACAACCAGGAACTGCTAAAACGTCTAATAAAACTCTGGAAAACCTTACAAAATACTAACATAAATGCAGATGCTGTTTAGCGCCAACACTATTTAAAAGTTATTACTCGCAAACTAACTTGACAAATAATATAACTTGACAAAAAACTGAAGACATGTGTGTTGGAAGTGAGCAACAAGTTCTGCCTATCTTGGACAAACAAAACATTGCAGCTCATAGAAATACCTGGACATAAAAATATCAAAGAAGAGAATAAATACTTGACGAGGCGATGTTAGCGATGTAACAAGCAGTACCCATACTAAACAGTATAGTGCGATAAACATATAACAAAAGAAAACGAACACAGAATATACAGCTCAATAACTAGCAGTACATAAATAACCTATAGGCGTGAAGTGTGGCCTATAAACGATAACACAGAAAGAATACTAAAAGCTACAGAAATTGATTACTGGAGAAGAACTGCGGGAAAATCTGAACTGGAAAAGATAAAAAACGAAATGAAAGTAAAAATTGACATTGTAGATGACATAAAAACTGCATTAACATAAAGTTGATGGTACGGATATGTACAAAGAAAAGGTCAAGAGCGACTAGCAGATCAAATTCTGCACTGGACATCAATAGGAACAAGACCACGGAAGATAAACACAGAGAAAAACCTAATACAACAAACCTGATTATACAGCGCTTGTAAAATACATTATATTATTTATAATTACGTATTAATAATCGTAGCGGGAATACAGACAGAGTATGTACTGCATAATATTAAGATTGAAGTATTTGCAGTTGATACGAGTATTAAAATTCTTTCTAAGTGGTATGGTGAAGAACAAGTTAATTAGATTATTGTCAAAAAACCAACCCGCGTAACACTAAAAAAACACGTTGTAAAAAAACACCAAAAATTAAATATTAAGATACAGGCTGATTCTCAACCTATACGCACAAACTTGGAGATTTATTCCTCATGACAAATAATGACTAATAGGTGAAAAAAGTTGTAGCAAAAGTTTTTTAGTTTCCTAGATATCCGAAATTTACTTTCAATGAAGAATACATAAAAAACTTTAAAATAACATTTAGTTATTTCCCATACCTTATATACACAATTGGCTCGTCGGATCCACGATCTTCCACAAGCGTGACTTAAACCATGGTGTTGGCACTTTGGTGGCGTACACTATGTTTTTTAAGTGACTTCAACAATAAAAATCCAGCGGAATGAGGTTGGGTAAATTATCGTGCAAAAATTGTAAATATGAGCACCAGTTATTCGATTATCCAGAATGAAAGTGTCAATTCATTCCAAGAATGGAATGAGATCTACTGGTAGTAGGGCTTACACACGTTGCATGTGATATGGATGGAGTTGATTGTGCCTCAATATTCGCCAAATTGTGGATTGTGGCACCTCATGTTGCTCTGCAAGTATCCTAGTACTTAGGCCAGGCGACAAGCGTTTGTCGACCTATGTTTATATGAAGTTTTTATGTTAATTTTAAAAGATCTATCGACTGTTAAAGTCCTGCTACAAAAACCTGAAACACCCTGTATAATATGATAGCGTAGTAAACACCCATGATTCGTATAAGTGCTCGTAACATGTTGATAAATTGTTATGAAAATCGACCATGTCATGTTCGTGTTCTTAAACAGTCGGAAACTCTTGTATGAATAAATTTAGTTATGAATCTTACCAAACTTTGACAACTTGTTCGTTACAGATATTATATTTCACAAGATATCGCAACATTCTCAGCATAAGAAAAGGAAATATAAAACAACGTTAGATCGTTCCATAGCCACACTCACTAACTTTACGATTTCTCAAGGTAAGTACTTTATTAATGGAAAATATAATATCGATGAAGTTTAACATTAAAGAAATCTAGAAAATCGCATAAAAAAAAGTTTATTTTTTTTGTCCCACAATAACTATAACCCTGTCAAAAACGCTGAACTATTATTGTATGCATATCAATATAAATAAAAGTATAAATAGTATAAATAAAATACTACATATGATAAGTTAACTTTCCACATACTGCCAAAAGTTTTGTCAGATTTGATTTATTTGGAATATATTTATGCTTCTGGGTGAAACGTAGGGGATTCGGTATGTGGTAAATGGAAAGTGACGATAGTAATCGTGCCTCATTCCAATTAATCGCTGCTGACGTACATTTCAATTTCCGATTGCACAAAATTTTCCCATGATAAAACTGATTAGTAATCGATCACATGATAAGTAATCCTTCACAGAAAATACAAAGATACAGTACAGGACAAATTAGGCATTTTACCTATAAAATTGCCTAAGATATATAAAAATGATTTATCGCAATATATTATTATGTACATTTAGTTAGAGATTAGTGGTGTTAGTTCTTTTTAGATGTTGCTTCATTAATCTCTAACAAGATTTCATAAACCATAAAATTTGATAATTTTCAAGATATGATTGTTGTTCAATTTCTTTGATACAAAATAATCGTGTATTTCTCACCTAAGTTGTTTACGGTTGGAATAGATTGCGGATGAACAAATTATGTAACAATATAAATTCAATGAACTTCCATTTCGAATAAAAACTTTCCATGTTTTGGACAAACTTACTAACAACAACTGATAAAGCGACAATCGTAAACTAAATATCTACAATAAACTAATAAAATGATGAATCATATTACAGTAATGTTGTAATAATTATAATTAAACCATAGATTTACCTAAAAACCTATATATTTCGATTGAATGGACAATTAATATTTAACGTTCCGGATATTTTTATGTTCTCCTTTGTATTTAAAAAGTCGCATTCCGCATGGTTAGCCATAAAAAAGTCAATAACAGGTTAATTGTAACCTATTATTAGTACGCAAACACACATGCCCAAGTTCAACACTTTTATCTAGCAAACAATAATTAAAGCAATATTTTCTTATAATGTTTTTTTCATTGTAACAAACAATGTTTGTTTTTCCGAATTGCTTTATCACTAATTAAAGTTAGTAAATCTAAAATCATTTGCTGTCTACATTTAGTTATAAACAAAGTTAAAGTAGACGAACATAATAGTGTTAACATAAGCCACCCTTTATGATAAAATTATTATTTCATCACCAACATTTAATAATCATTCCTTCATGACATATCTTTTAATTATTTGTTTTATAATAAGCGTTGTTACAAACAAATACACACACTGACACACACGGCTATAAATTTTATTTTAAGAAAAATTTTATTGTTTCATGTATCTTTCAGAACAATAAAATTTTTTCTTAAAAAAATATCAAATTTATAAGACAAATACTCATCTAACCGGCAAATATGAAAAAAAAAAACGATAATTAGTAAACATAAAAGTATAAAAGAAAAAAATTAAAAAGCACTAACCTAAATCGCAAAGGGCAAAGCGGTGTTCACGCAGCACAGAGAAAGATGACGGGTGATAACAGTATTTCTAGGGCCTTCTTAAAAGGGACGCAAGCCTTTCGACTCCTGCATAACAACCATCATCTTACTAAGGCGGCTACATCTTAATTAGATTTTCCGCGAAATCGTTCGGTGTTAATTAAAGGATTTAAACAAAAAATGTATTAATGGATATTATTACTTGGTGAGGGACAAAAACTAACTACCAAATACGATTTAAACATCTAAATTGCACAGGCCAACGTGAAGGGAATAATTATTGTTAATAAAAATATAAATAAAAATGAAAACACATCGAAAACGTACAATTACACATTTAAGAAGGACACTGATGCCATTTGGTGTACATAATTTACTTCTATCTAACAGAAAACATTTCTCTATGTACTTCATTAATTTAGATTGTATAGTTTTTTTTTTAATTCTATAAATAAAGAAATAGTAATAAAAACGCACACAGACACGAAGGTGGGTTTTAAAATTAATTCTTTCGCGTTTCAGGTTGGAAAAAAATAATAAAAATGAACGTGTTCTTGTATGATGAACGTGGATGCAAAATGTGTGTTAATGGTGTTCTTTTTTGATTTTATTGTTGTCTTTTTTATGAATACATACCGATGGTAGTAGTAAGACAGGGTCCGTTTTTAACAAATTGTGGGAGTCGTTTAATTATCTGAAATAAAATTATCGTCACCAAAACATATTTTTTACGTTGAATTCTGAAAACAAATAATTTAGTAATGTTCTAATAAAACCCACACGTTTTAGAATATCTTTACAATTTTAGACCCAATTTTAATGAATTTAAAGATTTAGAAGATGTTAATGTTGTATTTTTGTTTAATTATTTACAAAAATAAAGTAAATGTTATTGTACACCACATCCAGTTAAATGTAAGCTCTCTATAGATACCCATAAAAAATAAAGCAACAATTATTTACAAATAAATTATTTTTTTTAACCCAGAAATAGTGTTTTAGCGAAGTTATAATTGCGGATAAAGAATAGAAAAATCTCACGTAAAACCTCCATCTTGATTAAATATGAGTGCTATTGAAAGATATGAATAGATTGGGAGTAAAAAATCTAAGAAAACATGTATGATGAGATAATAGCTGGTGCCGAATTTTTTTTTTGTTTAAATGGTTGTTTTGTGATTGATGATAATGATGAAAGTAATAAATAAAATGATATTAGGTAAATAACGTACACCAAATGGACAGTGTGCGGTCAGGTCACCTATGCAATGGCGCTGCGCTCTCGCTGGATGTCGGCTGCCGTCTTACCTGGCGAAACTCTTGAACGCAGCACTCTGTGGGTTGATGCACAACGGCACTCTACTCGTATTCAGCTGTTCCGCTATAAACTTGTGCATTTCCTCTACAAGAAAATAATTAGAACATAAAATTAGTATAATATTTAATGCAAATATAGGATGACTTATTGGAAATAGACTTTTTAATAATTATCACATTCAACATAGTAAACTTCCTATCTTTAATTTGGTATAAAAATATACACACTACCTCAATAAAGTCTCCATATATCTTCAACTTCTATAAAATACTGTCCTGTAACTTATACAGGGTGATTCTCAACCTATACGCATCAACTGAGGGATTTATTCCTCAGGACAAATAATGACTAATAGATGAAAAAAATTGTAGTAAAAGTTTTTTAGTTTCCTAGATATCCGATATAATCGGCGATATCTAGATAATTTGTTTCCTGGAAGATGGATAGGTCGAGATGGTCTAATGGCCTAGCCAAGTGATCGCCCGGCTTCAATCCTCTTGATTTATACCTTTCGGGTCAATTAAAAAGCAGAGTGTACGCCACAGAAGTTAACACTCAGCAAATATTGCAAAATCAGATACATGCTGCTGTCCAGACAACTCGCCAACACCCTGGTTTAGGCCGCGCTAGTGTGCGATCGTGGATTCGGGGAGCCCAATTGATAGAAAATATGGGAAATAACTCCGAAAACTTGCTGTGGTGTTATTTATATATTATCCCTTAGCCTATGCGTGTAGGTTGAGAATCACCCTGTATAAAATGACCAACAAGAGCAAATATATATTATTTCTTTTTGACGTTCTTGTTTTATGTTCAATCTTAGATCTATCTCGTGTTAACATTCAACATCAACAACCGATTACGGCGAGCACCTTCTTCCTTGAATCTTTCAGCTTCCATATTCTTCACTGATTGATCATAAATTGTCGGAAAAAAAGTCCATATATGAGTTAAGAAAATGTTAAACTTACAGATATCGATTCTCTTTCAACTTGGCTTCTGATAAACATGGAAACTTAAAAGTTTATTTTTTGGCGACGAATTCTATAATATTTTAGGCATATATCAGAAGAGATGGAAATATCCTAGAAAAACGAATACTCCAAAAAAAAGTAGAAGGCAGAAGACCAAGAGAAAAATCGCCAACTAAGTGATTGGACCAGGTTAAAGAAATAACAGACACTCCACCTCAAGGCGCACTTAGACCGCCAATTATAGAAGAATAAAGTAAAAGAATGTTCATAAACATTATTCACCGCATATGTAACAAAAGTCATCTGGAAAATTTTCACGTCTCGAAATCGAAACCATGTATCACAAATGCGCAGTGAAAAAAAGGAAACGACAAATGGGTGGGATAACGACGGGTAGGTGTAATAAAATATATTTTGTTCCATTTATCTCGTTTTTATCTCATTTAAATTTGTAATGGGATGTTGCCGACTTTTGCACTTTATCTAATCCCATAGATGTTTAATGGGATTGAGATCTGACAACTGTAATTAACGGGAAACATTTTGTGATTGATGCGCACAATTTTTACGATGTGCTTGGTATCATCATGTTGTTGGAACATAAATGATTTCGCAATCCCAAAATATCTAGCACAAAATATCAAGATAATGTTCTTTATTTATTATACCATATTTCCTACACCAGCAGATGACATACTTCGCCAAAACATAACGTTACCGCTGTCGTGATTTCCTATTAGAAACAAATTTTCTTTTTTGAAGGCTTTATTATGTTTTCGTCAAACTTGAGTGCGCGAATCGCAATGTTACCGATCAAATCCTTTAAATTTTTTTATCAATCATAACAAGATTTTATTACCTTGGAACAACATGTTGTCGAAAATATAGACACGATATTTTCGACAAAAGTTACATAATTGTGTTCGAAACTTTATTGAGGCAGTGTATTTGTCTTGGAAATTAACTGAGTGATGCTAAATTTAAAAATGCCTGTTTCCCAAATGTTACACAATATCTATTTTAAAAAAATCATTTTATTTTACCTTTGACCTGATGGACGGAGGTCAATTTTCGTTCCCAGCTATCGTCAAAAGGCTGTGGTGCCGTCGTTTCAAATTCCGTTGTATACTGTCTCATTCCCGTCGTTGTCGTATAACAACATTTGCACATACATGAATGATATCTCAATCTGCCTTCGTCTAAATATGGATGAGCTAAAGCATCTACTACAGATATACGTTTATCCTACAAAAAAGAACATTTTATAAAATGTTTTAATAAAATCCTTATTATTTTTCTGAACTTACTGGATCAAAAACTAACATCTGACACAATAAATGCACAACTTCGTGGGTAGCTTGTGAGGATAATGTATAAAGAGCAGTTAACGATGGAGGTTTAGGTGCTCTTCTGAGCATATGTGTTTTCGCTCCTTCGCAGGCGTATTTCATATCGTCAATGGTGGGTGTTCCGAGCAATTCTGTTATAAGTTCTAATTGTTGCACCGGGTTTTGAGCTTGGAACAATATTCTCCGACCGAGTAATTCGCCAAAGATGCAACCCACCGACCAAACGTCCACCGCCGCCGTGTAATGTCTGGCTCCCATAAGAATTTCCGGTGCCCTGTAGTACTGTGTCACCACTTCTTGCGTCATATGTTTACTGGAATCGGGTTCTTCTACGCGCGCTAAACCGAAATCACAGATCTGCGAAAGAAACAATTTTAAATTAGGGAAAGTTAAACAATAATAAATACCAAAAAAGGAAGATGAAGAACATCGTAAGAAATATAGAAAGTAGAATTTATAAGTGGATAGACACTAATAGTTATTAAAGAACGGTTGAAAGCGATTTACATGTTGAAAGCGTGTGAAATGAAAATGATTGCATGAAAAGATAAAGAACATGAAAGAATAAGGAGAAAATAAGTTACGATGTAGATGTGTTTGTGGTAAACTTACCTTAAGAACGCAATTACTATTTACAAGTAAGTTGCCTGGTTTTATATCACGATGTAATATTCTCGCAGAATGTAGGTATTTCAGTCCTAGAAATCCCAAGGAAATTAAATAGTAAACAAACTAGTAATAAGTTAAAAAAATAAATATTTACCTCTAAGTATTTGATACAGGAAAACTTTTATGTGATCCGACGATAGCGGTTGGTGGGAAACTATAATTTTGTGTAAGTCACTTTGGAGAAGTTCTGTAATTACATATCTACACAAAGCGGTTAAGAAAATTTACTTCAAATTTCATAAATTTTATAAAACTGATTAAAAATCAATTTGAATCGAATTGATGTGTTCTTTGGGCTCAAAGAACACTTAACAAGAACTAATACAAGTAGGTCGCGCTTCAGTCCTGTCATTATTTGCACGAACGACAAAGTAGGTTAACCAAAAAACCAGCTCGGCCACCAAACAATAAAGCAACAACCATTTCCAAAAGTGCTTGCAGACAGGAAGTCACGTTTAGAAAGTAAAAAAACGAACAATATGTATACATATATTTTAAGGCTTTCTTCTTAAGTGTAAAGTTGTGTAAACGCAGTTGCGAAACTTAGCACTATTTGTGCAAAAAAAAGGCTGCACTTCCACACGCCATCGAGTCCCCTTCAGGCAACACCTTCCGTCGTGGCCTAGCTATTTATAGAGGACTGTGAGAGAACAGAGCGAACTACGATCGTACGCTAAATAGGACGAATATAGGAACAAAGACGCTTATCTCTATTTATACGCACGTGTATAAATTTGTCGTCATCTAGAATATGTCGTTCAACTCTTTGTCCGAACGAGGGCCTTATGACAAATGTTAGGCTCGTACGCCGCTCGACTCAGAACAAAGCATTTACTAGGGGGGGTTCTATTTCTGATGAGTCTGATGACGAAGGATGTTCGCAATGACAAATTCAAAATTGCGTTTTAAATGGGAAAAGGGTCGAAGAAAAATTGAATAGGATATAAAATTAACTTTCAACGATCTCACACCGTTTAGATTAAAATAATTGCCCCATTCAATAAAACAAAACGAGATATCCGCACACACATACGGAGGGAACGGTTTTCTCCGCGATCGTTCTTATTTGGTTATCCGTCGGCGGCCTCTAATAACAAATAGCCCCGTGGACGCGACCATCCCATTATCCGAGAACCCGGAGTGCATTAAAATAATTGCACTGCCAGACGGATACGGATTATCCGCCTCCAGCGTTCGCCGAAGTTCCACTCTTCTTTTGAATGCAACACGCACACGCGATCGATCGCTTCGCTGCCATCTGTTGCCCCGCAGGGAAAGAGGAGGTGGTGGAAAAATTGGTTGGATTACGACGACGAGCACGTGGCACAAACGAAAACATCAACCGTTTAAGTTCAGTTCACATCGTTCATTGTTATTCATTCAGAACCAGTTTTTTATTTCGTTAACGAACGAAACGCCCTATACAAAATATATAGGCATTATATACATAATATTGAATTGAATACATTATGCTATGTATTATAATTATTGAATCGTTTCAACATCTCCCTATTATTATTAGTACATAGACTGATAAGGGATATATGGGCATCGATTTCTCACTTACCATGATATATCTGTAACCTAGCAACAAGACAAAGGTAGTGGTGCTCCTGGGTCGATTAATCGTTCCCTTGGGATAAGATACAAATTGCAATATTCGAATTGGTTGAATTAGCTTGAATTGTTTGAAATCAAAATGCAGGTATCGCGTTGATTAATGTTTCCTCTTTAAATGTATCAGATTCAGATAGCTTTAGATTAAACCACTTGGGATTAAAAGTCGTATATCGATTTATAGAGCTAAATTCGAATATTTTTAAATAAAACAAGCTCAAATACAGTAAAATCTCTATATAACGAATTCATACATAAAAGGGAGTGTCCGTTATAGCCAAAGATCCGTTATATGAAAAATTTTTAATTTGCACTTTAAATTATTGTTTGAATGAGTAATTTTAATGCGCATTAATTCGGACAGGTATCCACAACGTTGCGTTCTTTATTAGTTAATTCCACTTTTAACTAACACTATCACTAATGATCAAATACTAACAATATCACTAGAACTAACACTAGACCTGGAACTAGAATCATTCGGGTTTAGCCGTGCGTCTCTTAAGACGGCTAAACCTGAATGATTTCAGTTCCAGGTTTAGTGTTAGTTCTACTTTTAGTTCAATAAAAATGTACAACAATCTACTAACCTAGCAGTGAATAACAACTAGAACTAACATTAGACTTAGAACTAGAAACAGTCGGATTTAGCCGTTCGTCTCTTAAGACGGCTAAACCCGAATGTTTCTAGTTCAAGGTCTAGTGTTTGTAATTACCGTCCTTGATTTATTACGCATAGATAACTCGGAGAATACACCGAGTTTATCTATGAACATGGAATAGGGCAAGTTAGAGAATAACCCGAGTTCTATTCTATCTATGAGCTGTATCTAATTAAATAGATAATATTAACCGAATAATTAATTAATTAATAATAACCGAAGTTCGTTCTAATGAGGACCGTTATATCGAGGTTTTACTGTAATTTAATTTATTATACGACCAAAATGTATTTTCAAATTAAATTCCGTAGAACAAAATTAACTATATATACAGGGTGATTTATTAACTCACCATCAAACTTTGACATATGATAGCTAATCCAATTATCAAAAAAAATTTTAATGAACATATCGTCGGCTTAAGATGCAAACATCCTAACTCCATTTTTATCTCAAAATGACATTTTAAATTGATCACGTGTACAAAAGATATGCGCATCGACTGAAACACGCTTAACTCACGAAATGTCAAAATTGGCATAACTCCCATAATCGTTACGATAGTGATGCGTAAACATTCGTCTCTATAATTTAAAATGCAAAAACCCAAGGACAGTAGAATCTAACAGAACTGCTACATCCACTATCTTTTTGTAGTCCACTACGGGTTGGTTGCCCGCACTCTACGTCACACTANACAAAACACGACTCGAAACTGGCCTATCTCCTGCCTATTCTACAACAATACGCGATTGGCATAACTCCCATTATCGTTATGATAATGATGAGATGAAAAAAAGGCCAATATAGAAAATGATGCAAACAGAAACAATGTGTTAACAGTTAGTGCCGCTTCTGCTCAAGATGATGACCTTTCTAATCCTTCTGATAAATCATATGAACTTTGGATGGATATTGTTTCCTCTGGCATGAGGGCAATGCTGGACTACTACTATTATTTACAAGTTATTGGAGACATACATTATGCCGGAAAAAGACTCTTTTGAAAAAGTAATTGTATACAGTGATGGATGTACGGGACAAAATCGAAACGCAATTCTTTCCAACGCACTTTTGAACCTTGCACGAACGAATAAAATCATAATTGAGCAAAAGTTTTTAGAAAAAGGGCATACTCAAGTGGAATGCGATTTAATGCACTCCACTATTGAGTGAAAACTAAAAACCAGAATTATTAATGTCCCAGCAGACTACGTTAATGTTTGTAAAACTGCCCGCATAAATCCTAAACCCTACAAGGTGGAGTACTTAGATCATACCTATTTTAAAAACATTCAAGGTGTCCAATACATCAGTTCCGTTAAAATGAGACATTCAGAGGAGGGGCACCTTTGCATAGATCCACAAAAAAGGATAAAATAATTTGGAATCTAGAGGAGTTGCCGTTGATGTATCCAACTCCTACACCAATTAAACAAGATAAGTTTAAACATTTAATTGATCTTAAAAGACTTTCATTTGTTTTATGGCAGCTTACTACATTTCTAAATCTGCTCTTGTTTTTCGCCACAGAACGAATAATATGATATATTATTAGAATGTTACTATTTTTTATGTTTCTAAGTTTATTTTTATGTAAGTTAAAAAGGAGACAGGTACTAGCTGCCTATCTCCTTCGGACAAAATAAATGTATATCGCAAACGATATTTTTTTTTATTATGTTTTCACATTCTGAGTTGTTTTTTGTATCTCGTGAATAATTTTCGATTTTGGAGTTAAGCCAGTTGCATCTTCAACCGATGATATGTCCTATTTCCATTATTTACGAAATTATAACACTTTAAAGTTTTCTGCAGCGAATTTATTAATAGTCAGTAAAATCAAACATTCAACAAAAACAAAGTTGTCATTGTAATATGTCAGTTTGCTGCAAGGTTTAATTATTGCTTCAGCAAAAGCTATTTGACCGCATGTAGTTAATGTAGAGGACGAAGAAGCTGTAATTAATGCTGTCATTGATAATCCTTCCATCATAACTCGAAGAATAGCACACAACATATATGTAAGTCAAAATCATGTTTTACACGAGATGGTATAAATAATTACTACAATGAACATATCTGGGCATGACAAAATCCGCATGCGATTAGACCAACGAAATTTCAACAACGTTTCAGCATCAACGTTTGGGGTGGAATATAGACGTTTGATATAACGTAATTCAAAATATGTGGTACCAGCACGATGGTCCAACACCTCATTGCGGAAGAGTAGTTGTCGAGTGGTTAAACCAATATTTTCCAAACAAGTGGATTAGTAATAATGGTCCATTTGCTTGGCCACCTAGATCCCCCGACCTTAATCCATTGGACTTCTACTTATGGGGTCAAATGAAACAAATTGTGTATCAAGTGGAAATTAACACACGAGAACAGTTATTAAAAAGAATACAAACGGCTACTACTGAAATAAGAAATCAAGCAGACAGTTTAATTCGGCTGAAGAACTCTTTAATTCGTCGTTGTGAAGCATGTAATTCTAGCAGATGAAGGCTATTTTGAACAATATTTGTAATATTTATGTGTTTTAAAAAAATGTAGCAGTTAATTATAATATAAAATTAATTATGACATTTGTTCATTAACATTCTTTTTGGTAAATGGATTGGCTATCATATGTCAAAGTTTGATGGTGAGTTAATAAATCACCCTGTATATATAGCCACATCTATTAAAGATATAACAAGTAAAGGGCTCTTATCTTGGTTCACATCCCTACTCAAACATTAATAGTTAGTTGAACTTAATTAAGAAAAGATTAATAACCGCTGATGATGCCTCAGATATTTGCTAATAATAAAACTTTGTAACAAGGATCTTATTCACAAACTTTGTAACGGGGACGATACATAGCTTGTATATTTTAATTGTAAAAAATTCAGGTGAAAGTGTACATTCAAAGCATCGTTGGATGGTTTGATTGCTTGATAAGATCTCCGCATAACGCAATTTTACATTCGAAAAACATAAAATTTATTATTAAGGCGACATTGTTGGATAGAAATAAATTTATAAAAATAATGACAACAATAACGTTTGTCCGACTAATGACGTGTGATGATCAGAAGGTTTTGTTGGAACAAATCCTTTAAAATTTCCAAATAAACTCAAAACATGTTTATTTTGTACATACTCGTATATTGTTTTGACTAAGTACTTCAAATGACTAAAATTCCGATTAAAAAATAAACAAGTTTTAAAATAACATGATCTCCGTTTTAATTTAAGCCATTTTTCGTGAAAGTGCGTATCGGGAGCTCTCTCAAAACAGTACCAGCCCGAGATTCCACGTGTGCTCGCAGGAACAATAACCTATTCATCTTTGCGTCCGCTCAGCTTTTCGTTCACGATTTACAGTTACAAATTCCGTCGGTTTTTTCGAAGATCGTATGTTTAGATTGCATGTTGTCCCGTGGACAAAGGATCCGCCTATTAAAGGACGCTTTGTCCGTGTTTCTACAAGGTTATTGACTCTCGGCCCGTTTGACTCGGATCCGCACATATTCGAAACGCTTTCGTCTCATTGTTCTACACGGGCGGATCCACAGCCACAATTTCCAATAACATTTTATTTTCCGCTGGACAACTAAAACAACAACCAAAAGAACGTTGTTACAAAACCCGTAGTACAAATCGAGGTTGGAATGAACACGTGTCTCTCGCTGTGCCGGGTGTTTTTCATTTTTATTGCTAAGTGTAATTGTTGATATTAAACGCTCTAATGAATTTAAGAAATTGTAGTTCGAAACAAATATTTTATTATTTGAGATGGTATTTCTTTCTTCAGGTTTTATAAATTGTAAAATCGACGATGTTAGATGATTCGGGTTTCTTGGATCATTGCATTAAGACGGGAAAGGTCGAGTTGGTTGGCCGGTTGGTTGTTTGGTTGGCAGGGAAAAAGAGGCCTTTGTAGCCTATTATCTGCGGTTCGATGCCGCCAGACGGGATCATTCAAAAACACGCAGCAAGGCCATCGGCATACCTTTGCCTCCAGCTTTAGCGTCTTTGTGCCAGCTTTTTCCTTCGATCCAGAGCGGTTTAGAAACTGGCCACAGAGAGATCTGATCTCGGAGACGTGCCATACAGATGTGTCCGCGAGGTATACAGGTAGAAATTTCTGGATGGACGAAAGACCCAGATTCTTTTTAGTTGTTATAACCTTCAATCTTAAAACGAAATTAAAAATCCATTTACGATTTATTTTTCGGTGATTTATCCTACCTTATAATAAGGGAATAGATATGAAAAAGAACTTGATTAATAATAGAGGGCGCTAATTCAACGTTCGATTAACTTGGTACAAATTGGCCAATCGGACCGGATTCCGGCAGAGCGGTCGATTATTCAAATTGAGGAGGCCGCGCGCCTCTCACGACCGCCTTGGACCGCGTAATTGACCGACTATTTCGTTTTAATTGTCCGCATATCTAAATTGTGGATCATGGTGGCCGCCACCGTCAAGTTCGTCGACTTTCCGCCACCGCAGACGATGACGATGCCGCCACGTGGCCAAGCCAATTAAAGTGGCAACAACTCCCCAAAGGGCCTTGCACCGGAAACACTTTTAATTGGAAGAGACGGTGACTTACTATCTCTTTGAAAACTACTACGAGGTTAAATGAAAAGAATTCGTGAGGTTAATTACGTCTTGTAAGTGTGTCTTTGTGAGGGGATTGAAACAGAGCTTATTGCATTCTTGAAGACAATTTAGATTAAAACTAAAAAAGGATACATTTCTTGGAAGAAGTCTAAATGTGGCGGTTGGAGGATATCGAGCGCTGATAATACCTGAAACAATAATAATAAAATTTAAAAAGTTATCTAATTTATTAGTATTAGGATTTTAATAATTTTTTTTTGTTAGGAGAGTCTCGTTAAAATTTCGCAATGTCATTAAACCTACGGGACGATTACGTGATGCAATAAAACCACCTCGATCGTGTGGTGGTAACACATGCCGCGTGCACGTAGCACATGTCCCGCAACAAATTCGCGACCCGAGGCCTTTTTGCAGGTGCACCTCTTCCTGACGCCAGGTGTGCAACGTCGTCCGTCAAGAACCCGTCTACTAATAATTTATTCTTCAAAAGGGACAACAGATTGTCACCGAAGAAATTACCCCAAACATTTTTTAATCACAAAAACAAATTTTGGCTAATAAATGATCGATATTAATTGATTACCTTTAATCGCACACCTAGTTAATTAAAAATGAGTTCTAACTAATTAAGATTTATTTATAAGCTTATTAAACCTGGCGATCGATACACTTCAAAGTCCTTGGACGAGGACTTCTCGAACGCGACAAAAAAAAAGCGACGAATAGCCTGCGGGAGATGTACGAGTATCGCGATGGATTCTATATTGAAGGATAAAAGTGTACCGATAATCTTGTTACGGACGTTTTGCTAATGTAGGTCAGTCTCGGATCGATAATTATTAAGAAAGAAAAGTTTTAATTTAACTCAAATCTAATAAAACATGTACTTACGTTTTCGTGTTTGAAGAAACAGAGCATCTTCAATTCCCTAAACACCCGTTTTGAAGATACCAACGACTGGAACACGTTCGGCAGTTTTTTCAAAGCGACCCTTCGTCCATCTCTCGGGTCTGTCACAGCCCTGAAAAGTAAATGGAAAAAAAAATTAGAAACGCCGCTTGAAATGTATGTTGAGGTCAAAGAAAAATATCCGAAGAGGTGATTTCTCCCGGAGCGATTCACACGACAAATTAATGTGTCGACAATTTGAAACGGTTGCGTGAGTTCTCTTCGGGTTAGGTTTGAAATTTCAGGAGTAGTCGATCTACCGCAGCAACAGCTACTGAAGCTGGATTGAAATACGAGTTAGTGGGCGATTCATATTGCATTTTAGTTTACTTATTACATAATAATATCTCATAATATATTAATTATATTATGTTATAAAAAATACGAGAAATTTTAACTCTTAATAACAATTAACAATTGAAGAGCTTCTTTCAGTAAACGATTTCAAAAAGGTCATATACAGGTCGAAATCTATATAAATATAGCTTTAACAATAAACACCGCTCCATTTGCATAAAAATAAAACATCCTATATCTATTTTGATATTTATTTTGGACATACTCGTGTTCTATAAATTCTACAAAAAAAAACAACAATCTTGACAAAAACAAGTTTTTTGAATAACAACAATAACATTTATTGTGACAAGCTTGGCAGCAGGATTATAGTTTTCTTAAACAAAGTGGTATCTGACAACTGCTAAATACCCAGTCAATGCGCACTAGTTTTGCCTTGGTGTTACATAAACCACACCATCTTCTTGATCAACGCTTAGGCTGATGCATCATAGAATTTAATCGCATATTCTCTGGTACAAACGGCTTTGATTTTTTAGTCTGTATTTGTGGCCCAGATTCCTTAGTCCTTTTGGAAGTAGATACTAAAACCGGTCCAACGAGACCTTGCAACAGCCTTCCTGAAATCTTTTGGCGTTAGCTTATTATGCAGATTATAGAGGTAATATGCATTTACCATAGAAGCATCTAACAAGTAGAGTTAAGTCAGTCAAACCGTACGATTGTGCGAGGCTTTTATAATGAGTTAGTTGGTAGTGATTATCATATTCAATCCACTTCATTCACGCTGATCATGCTGATACAGTTTATTTAGAAAATGATTAAAGATATGTGCAAGCACAACGAGAATTCCGCCGACATTTTCATTTACCATCTCATGCTCTTGTTCCGAGTAGAAAGGCCGGTTGGCTTAGGTAGAGCTGTTTGGACTCTTAACTTAAAAATAGTGGGCCAAACAATAAGAAAAAAAGGCGGTTGTACAAGAACGCTTAGGACTCCCAAAAATATAGAGACTGTACGAGAAATGATTGTAAGAAGTCCTCAAAGATCTGCAAGGCATCATAAAGTTGCTCGTATTACTTTCGACTAGATCAGTAAGAAGAATTTTACGTGATGATTTACACCAACATTCGCACAAGATTCAAATACTTCATACTCTGAGACACCGAGATAATATTCCGCCTTAGTTTTTGTGAGCACTACAGATGTTAAAAGGCAACCCACAGCTCATCGATAATTTTAGAATAGTGATGAAGCTTATTTCCACCTCAGCGGATATGTTAATAAACATAGCTTTCACTATTGGGCCTCTGAAAATCCTTATCAACCTCACGGACAACCTCTCCATTCGGCCAAAGTTATTCTTTGGTGTACGATGTCTTCGAATAGCATCATTGGCCCATACTACTTTGAGAATGATGATAGCCATGCAATTATTGTAACATCAGCGCTTTATATTCGAATGCTGGAAACCTTTTTCATCCCACAAGTGCTATGAATGAGAATACTCATTTCTAACAAGATGGAACAACTTGTCACACAGCTATAGTTACAATGAACTTTCTTAGAGAATATTTTCCGAATCGCCTCATCAATATAACTGGGAATATTCATTGATTTCCACGATCGCCAGACCTCAGCTCGTGTAACAATTTTTTTATGGGGATACCTCAACTCTAAGGTGTGTGAGGTATGCCCAGCAACAATACAAGACGTAAAAGTGCAGATTGAAAATGAAATTCGTACAATAATGCCAGTGATATTACGACGTGTCATTGCTACTTCCTAGAAAAGACTTAGACAATATGTGCAAAATGATGATCGTCATCTTCCTGAAATAATATTTAAAAGATGTTTTTTATGCTTCACATAAATTTTCATCGTTTCTCTTAACATTTGTTGCAAAAGAAATTAAATTTATGTTTTATACCACTTTTTTAATAGTTTTGAATAGTGATGTTTGATTGCCTCACCTTGTATATTGTACATAAACTCAAAACTTACTTAATTATTGTTGAAAATCAAAAATATTCTAATATTTTATTACAGTTTATTCGGTTTTTGTTGGAACAAATTGAAAGTCGTTAATATTGATAAAAACCGGAGCTTCGAATGAAAGTTGAACCGAAAACTGGAAACTAGAAAAAAAAACCGTTTTTGTTGGACCGAAAATCAAGTTGAATCAAAAAAAAAATATGTATCGGTTTATTCCGGATTACCACGACATTTTTAAAATGTTTCATAAATAAATTTAATATTAATTTATTTTGTATTTACGAAGCAAAATAATTGTTTAGTACCATTGACATTTTTATCTCGTTTTATACGTTTCCGCTATTAAAATTGGTAGATTTCCATGGGAAAGTTAACAATCATTTGATAACGCGGTGATATGATAACGTTTAACTCGGGTGAATGAGGGGGTTTATTCAGTGATGAGGTTCACTTTATTGACTTACTTGTTGAGATTGTTTTTGGATGAATTGTTCAGTGGTTTATTCTAATAAAAGACTTTTCAAACTTGCAAACTTTGTAGCAATAAATTACCGTGACTGCGTTTTATTCCATGACTGACATTCGAATTAATCACCATGTTCAAGTAGGACAATATAAAGTTTTAAAATACAGCAATATTTATATTTAGCTATTTAGATATGGATTAGAAATTAATAAATTATTACTTGGACAAAATATCCAACACAAAATGATCTAAAAGTTATTGGCAAGAAATGTTAAATCTGGTAAATGTAACTTATAGAATTTATTACAACTGAACCTTCTCCTGATCTGCAAATCAAAAGATATTCATCTACAATGTTAGACGTTTGACGGCTGTATCTTAGCAATAACGCGCTTTATCGGATTAACGACTTCAGTACAATTCGATAAGTTGAGGATTCGATGAAACTAATCTATTAAGATATGAACTTCTTCATAATTTTTATTATTATCTAGAAATGAAAGCTGTATCTCTTATTCAAGTAACATCCTATATGTCAAAACATTCGTGTAGAAATGTTTGCTATAGTTGAAAATGTAATTAAATAATAAGTAACAAGAAAATACAAAAACAGTTAATAACAACAACATTCAAAACATTATTATATTTCTAATATAATTTATTTCTATTTTTCTGCCTCGTGTCCACTACGTCCATTTTAAAGCATTTCATTTAATATCGTCATAATTGATTTTGTGTCCAGTGTTTGAAGTTAACTTGTTTTTAAATAGAACTTGTATTTAATTATAAAATACAAAAATGTTATGAAACACAAATAATTATAATAAACTTATTAATTAAACACAATTATTGATAATTCATTGTGTGTTGATTCGTACTTCTTTTAATTACTACCTTTAATTACATACACAATAATTAATGCGTGGTGAGAGCTTTACTGGTGCGAGATAATAACTGACTTTAGCAAAGCTTTTATAGTTTTATCTCGTGGAGATAAAGAGATTCAGAAATTCTATGTCTATTTTATATCTTGCAAGTGTTCGGGGTATCCTACTTTGAAGATTACAGCCAAGGATTGCAAGGATTATCTTGGGGATTTTGTTCTAGTGACTTAAAATTTTTAGGTATTTATTGAATTGCTTTCAATAGGAAATTCTTGTTGTGTTTTCGGTAATTCTACGTGTGCAAATTAGTATTCGTGTTCTTTGATTCATTAATTTCATATGCGCTTGCATTCATATTATTTTCGCCAAGGTATTGATTAGTAACTGCAAGTATTCTAAACGTTTGTCACATTTAGTTAATGAATTGAGTGGTGAAAAATGTATTATATTAATATTAAGACAATTCTTGCTGTTTTCTATTTCCATTTATCATACGTAGTTCTCCAATTATCTAATCAATCTAACAACGGATTATTGTTGGATGGTGTGTATTTGGTTTTATAAATGGTTTACAGTTTATATTTGATCAATCAAGAGATGCATCAAAGAACATACATACTTTTTGTATAAATCAGCTGTCTAACTTGCTTCTATCTTTTGGACTTTAGAGTGAATAGGTACTTTTCAATACTTTTGTGTATAAAATCATCTTTACCATGATTTCTAATGAAATCTGACTTTAACTTTAATGATCTTATTATGATTTATTGATAGTTGTTCTAAAGATTAATCAATCCTTTCGGCATCTTCGCTATCTAAGTTACCAGATACTTAAACACACATACACACTGCTAAACTCCTATTGATCTACAGCTCATTGTGACTTCTGGCCTTCTCCAAACATTGTCCATCCATCGCCCCCTTGCCATGGCCTTCCTCTTGGTCGACGATCCTCTGGTGTTTGAGTGAGAAGTGTTCCAGCCATCTCAGTCTTCAGGCTTTAATCCACGTTGATAGTTCTAGTCCTTCCTGCAGTTCTCTTGTCTTGTAGTTCATTAATTGTCTCCATCCTCCCAGGTTTGTATCATATTTTGGCTCGTATATCCTTCGTAACATTTTTCTTTCAAACCAGTTTAACAACTCTTGGTTATTGAGTGTTCATGTTGTGCAGACTGTCTTGTGCAGTATTCCTTTACATCATTTACACATTAAGTTTTTGTTGAATTTCATTAAAGCCAATATACCTTTAAGTTGTTTTCAGTTATAAAACGGATCTTTGCTGTTACTTGATTGCGTTCATGAAATTTATTCACATCAGTCGTTGATATTCTGTATTTCCGCAGATATTATTATTCCACATCCTATTGTATGGTAATTATCTAGGTTGATAGCTTGTTTGGACCTTTCAGTGCCTTTTCAGTACTTTCTTGT